AAAATATCTTCTGTTGTATTTCATCATTTTCACCCATTATATAGATAAGTACTGTAACTGCTTTACACTATCAGAAAAGGATATTTGACATATTTGTCAAATGTTCTGAATGATATTACAAACTGATAAAGATGTTGAGGAATACATGATTGTATTTACCTGGCAAATACTGCTGTTGTAGAGTGGGGAAAATGTACAAGTGTGTGCTATATTTCTAACTGAAACCTGGTAAAATAAATTTTTTTTAGAGTTTCTGGAAGGTTCCAGTTATACTCTGAATGTCTTAATTCTGTATGGATACTGAAGCTCCCTACATTTCGTCCATCTGGTTCTGGAGATGTATTTTGCAAAGAATCTTCTTAAAATCTATCCATTTCTCATCAACGGAACTCAGCCATTTGAATGCATGTCTGGGTGAGTTCTTTGGGGACAGTCTCCATTGTCATTGTCATTTGTCTCTATTGTCATTATCCATTGTCTTTGACACTCAACTGCTACCCAATCGTAAGTGTTGATCTGGATCTGCTGATGTTGATTGTTGTTACCAGAATCTGCCTGCTTCAGCTCTTGTTCAGCTGGTTCCTTACTTTCCTTCAATGAGTAGATGTCATTTCCGTCTTGTACATGTGTCTCAGGAACACACCTATCCACATCCGTAACTTTATTATCCAGAACAGTTACTTCAGTTGGGTTTTTCAAAGTATTTTAATTCAGTAGACATGAGAGAACCCAGTTGCTGTGGTAGTTGCCAGCTAAGCACTGCTCACAGTAGCATGATGTGTGTGTACCACATTATGAATGAAAGAAAGAATGCAGAATGATAAAGATATGAAAATATATTTACACTTAGGCAACCAGTGTGGTTGGTCGGGATTTGTAGGGGAGCAAGTTTCCAGTCTTGTTTCATCTGTTGAGCAGCGCATTGTGCGCTTAGATGTATACTGTGTTACCATTTGTATCCTGAGGCCTATAAATACACTTGACTTGACTTGTTTAAAAAGTTTTCACAAGTCCTGGGCATACAGGAACCACAGAATGTACTGTCATTGTTCCTTTGACTGGAACAGTTCTTGTTTAATTCGGCAAATTCTTAAAATGCATTGTCATATTCATCAGTGTTTACAAACACATAGTTAGCACTGGTATGGAACCTCTTCCCACACTCATAAAACTCATGAGCATCTTGTATGCACACTTTTCCTTGTTTGACTGCGAGATCAGCCATTCTTTTTAGCTGTTCCTCCAACCCAATCACAAGGTCCTTTTCCATTTCCTGTTTCAAAATAGTTCCATGATGCTTGGACATTCAAGAGTTGCTAGTGATCAGACATAATATAGAATGCTCTTTTATTTCTATACTAGCCACATAAAGAAACTGTGCACGGAGAAAATATATTCTGGATTGAAATACAACACAGCAAGAACAAAATGATGCAGACGCTGTAGCAGCTGAATGACCAGACCATAAGAAAATGTCAACGGGACCTGAACAACATCTGTTACGATGACGTCAGAAGATCAAAATGGAGTAGGGGGTCAAACGACAAAGTCACAAAGTCAATAACCGGTATGACCACCCTGTGCGTGAATCACAGCAGTGCATCGGCGACGCATGGAGTCCACCAAATGGGCATGGAAGGCCTGGGGAATGGCCTGCCATATCCTCCTCAAATCCTGTGCCAAGTCACGGACGTTATCTGGAGGATGTGGAAGACGACGCAGACGGCGCTCCATTTCATCCCACACATGCTCTATTGGGGAGAGATCAGGAGAAATTGCAGGCCATGACAGTAACATGACATTGTTATGGTGAAGGAAATCCATTGTGACCCTAACCCTAGTGTGAGGACGAGCGTTGTCCTGTTGAAATGTCAATCCCGGGTCATGACGTGGCAGGAAAGGAATGACCACAGGCCTCAGAATCTGATCTCTGTAGCCAACACCGGTGAGATTGCCCTGAACAACCACCAAAGGGGTTCGGTCCCGTGCTGTTATCCCACCCCAGATCATCACAGAGCCACTCCAAAACGATTCCTCTCCACAATACAGTTGCGTGCATAACGTTCTCCCAAACGCCGGTAGACACGTTGGCGCCCATCACTGTGGGAAATGTTGAACCTCGATTCATCTGTAAAGACAACATTTCTCCACCATATTCGAGGTTGGTGAACATGATTTCGACACCATCTTAGATGGTTGACTCGATGACGGTGTGTCAGGATGGGACGTATGGCAGGGCGTCGTGGTCGAATCCCGTACTGACGTAAACGATTCCTGACAGTGTTGGGATGGATACGGCGCAGTCCAGGAATTGTCTGGGACGTCGTTACTGCCGTTTGGAACCTGTGTCGGAGATGTGTAACTCGAATCCATCTGTCCTGTCTTGGCGTCGTTACTCGGGGACGTCCTGAACGTGGGTGGTCGGCAACGTCATTTGTGTTCTGATAACACCTCACCAATGCCGACATCGTGTTACGATGGCATTGGAAATGTGTTGCCACCTGTTGTTGCCTCATTCCCGCTCGGATCATTCCAATGGCTTCATGACGCTGTGCAGCTGTCAATCTTGGCATGATTTGCTTGTGATATGCTTGTGTCTGCGCCTGAGAAGTTATGAATTTTTGAATGACCACAGATCATGCTTTCCAAAGTGACAGCAAATTTTGAGTTGCACATGCTGTGTACAGCTGCACAGGATGCACGTGCAGTAACACATTACACGTCCATAGGCCCCCATCAATGACGTCATATCGCATGGCACGTGCATGAGCGTTTGAATGTCTCCAATAATTGCTGTGTTCAAACCTATCTTTCATATATGGACGGTGTGCCCTTATATCTATATTTTCTCTGTGCACAGTTTCTTTATGTGGCTAGTAAATATTGAGAGAATGGAGTGTCTGTTCAATAGAGAACCCATGCCAAATCACCAAGACATCTATTTACTTCAGGAACCAGCTTCTTCAGGATAGTATAAACGGTACAAATATTATGACCAAAGCAAACAGAAACATACACAAAGCTATTGTGTTTGAGATCCTCTTTACTAATTGCCCTATAATACACTACTACTGGATGAAGGGTCACAGCTGTTATTCCAATGAGCACTCCGTACCTTGTCAGCTGAACAGCAGCTGAAGTTTTCGGCAAAATCCATCTGTACAGATAACATGACCATTAGAAAGGTTAATTCTCTTTAAGGTCTGTGATGGCTTTGTACTGATCCTTCACTCTGTTTATGTGCCGGAGAAACGCACATGATTCTTCAGCAATGATCTCACAAAACTCTTTTCTTGATACTTTTTTTCCAGACAATCTTTGTTCTTTTCTTCCCATTAGGCATATCTACCTTCAACTTTCCATAGGAAACACTCTTCTTTTGGGTCTGTTCAAAATTCTGTTGGCATCACATCTCCCAGTTTCCGAGCACATTCATCTTGGTTGATTAGTACCTCACTACCACAACCTTAAATACTTTTCAACAGCAACGCCATATTCTGATCCTTCTGACAGAGGTACTAGTTTCTTGACATGTACTTTGTAAGAGTGACATGTTTGGATCGCATCCTGCAAAACGTTGCAAGATAGATTAATTGCCACAGACCTCGCTGCATTCAATATTTTCTGAGGATAATCCTGGCACAACTCTTCAGGTGATTTGATTTCCCTTCAGACCTTCAGACCATGTCTTGCAAGTTTAATCTCATCACTTAACTCATTTCTGAAGACAAGTCTAGTACGAAACTTATGTGATACTTTTCTTGGACTAAGGACTTCATGGCGTAGTTCTTCAGCCACCAATTTCCTTGGTGTTAATGTGCATAACGCAGATGAGTCACTCGATGTGATGTATCCATTTTGATTACCGGCGTTATTTTGATTCAGTTTCGTAGTCAACCTCTCATACCGGTATCTTCTGCATACACGTTTATTCATTCTTTGAAGGATTTCAGCTTTTCTACTTCAAAGAGTTATATCTCGCCTTAAATTAGCTGTAACCCTGCTGATCCTTTTCCTTGACCTTAACTATGAATCACAGTAAGGTATTTTAACAATGTTGATGAAAACCCTTCATTTTCATGTCTGTCTGCTATCGAGGTGCTGTTCAATCATACTATCCAATGGTTGGGTCTCATCCTGGCTTGAGGAGTTTCCAAGGACATCATCATCTGCCTTCTTTTCAGACTTTTTTCTCTGTCTGTGTTATTTCACATTTCACTACATTGCTTATCTTATTGTGTGTATATTTTATAGTCAAAATGTGCAAATTTTTTACTTATAGACAATTTATAAAACGCCTAAATATTCAGTCATTTTACAAATTGACTGACAAATCTGTCCATTTATGTTATTATGATAAAGAATTCCAAACATTTTTATGTCTTAATTTCATCACCAAGTGACGATAATGATAGGATTAAAAGAAAATGAAATTCGTAGTTTGGGGGGAAAAGGGGAATATTGGGGTGTTATACCCTCATCCATGGTGGGAACAAACAAGTGGAGTTTCATCTTCATCAGTGCAGTGTTTTCAGAGATGATGTTTGAGACAGAAGAAGAAAGATTGGCAAAAACGCCACAGCATAAGTGCTAGGGCGCTTTGATAGGTACTCGAGCACAGATTGGGTTTAGATGGCCTCCAGTCCTATGCCAAGCACTTTAATAGCTGAACAGGACAGATAACTCACAGATTACTTTGTTACATCTTCACTTTTCAAATAAGCATACTACAGACTGGAAGAATAAATGTCAAATGTCTTGAATCACATTGACTAAGATGATGCAAAGAAATAGACACGCTGAAGGATGTGTTGCCTTGTCAACAGTGACTTCATACACTAGCCCTACCAACGCAAGACTACTCCTTTGGTTCATATATCATGTAGCTAAAAATGTCTAACATTGAAATCAGGTACTCAAGTTAATTTTTTTTCTACCAATCACACCCTTAAGCTCACTTCACATTCAGTTAGGTGAGCTAAAATTACAGAACACTGTGAAAACCTTCTGACATTTATTTTCAGATTAAACTTTCTTCTCTACATCCACCTTGTTAAGATAAAATATAAATCATGAGTGTTACAAGTCAAATTGATATATCCTGCAATTTAACCAACACAAATGCCATATTCGGTTATTAAGTGCCTCTGACCAACTTCTAGACCAATCAGCAAGAAATATTTAGAAGTGCCCTGTACAAAGCCCAAAAGTTTACATGTTTTTTCATAAATACATATGAACACGTTTTAAATGCCAAAAACTGTCATGAAATGAATCTTAGTTGTTACTTGGCCTATCATAATTCAATCCTTAAATTGACTTGTGGGTCTGTCAGTTTTCTGTCGTAAACTATGAAGGCCTTTGAAGCAGCAACTTTCCATTAATGATCCCAGCCATGGTGACTAAAAAAGTTGCTCACATAATTAAAATTAAACTTTTAACATGGCTACCATGCCAGCCATATTGAAAATGTTCTTTTTGCCCTATAATCAGCCACAGAGTCACATATCGTACGCAGCATATATATGATATGTTAAACTTGTTGCTGTGTTCTGTAATATTTGTCAACAGAACCCATGCTTATTGAAAGAAGTGACTAACGGGATCAGATGGTCAGACTTGCTGACTTGGTTGATGCATGTCATTGTATCCCAATTGCATAGATCTGTGCTCATTATGTCAATCACTGGATTATCTGGTCCAGACTCCACTATTTGCATACCACCGTCATGTAGCCAACAAAAACAACTTAAACGTTTGACTTTTATGTAAGGATGTGGCTGCTAATAGAGCCACAGAGTCATGATGAACATGTGAGCATGTAATTTTGGCCATCAGCAAAGCCAGTTATGGTTTCATTTGTGGTAGAATAATGGTTGTCAGAATTATTTCTTTGCACAACCTAATGTTGTGGAGAATTGCATACTGAAAAAACAGTTTAGTGGTCAGGGCGCTTAAGATGGCACATAAGGTATTTGCAAAATAGCTTGATTGCTGGTAAATGCTGTAAAATTGTTTGTCAAAAGGCTTGTCTTGAGCCTTACAGACAATAATTTAGTTTATAAGGCAATTATCTACATGATGGTTTATGGTCTCATTTGAAGTTCCAGTTGGAAAATCCCTGCCACAAACTGGACAATTCATTTCTCTCTTGTCATCCCTCAAACTGGTCTGTTTAGCAAATGATGAAAAGAGTGACACCTGCTTTGAGCGTTTAGCTGGCTGTGTACTGCTTCCACATGACAACCTTTTCTGAGTTCTGCCTTCCTTTTTGGTTCTTGCTCTGGAAATAAGGTCAGAAGGTTGTACTTTTTTTGGATAAGTGACAAGATTCTTTTCCTCAATTTCAAAACCAACAGCATCTTTTTCTTGTAATTTGTCCTCTGTCCTTCTGACCTTGGTTTCATTGACTTTGACAATGATGTCAGTAGAGACATCTTCTAACTCTCCAGTGTGCTGTGAAGACACTGAAGCAACACACTCCTCATTACTCAACTTAGAAACAGGTTTGAAGAAGTTTTTGAGGGTTATGGGTGGGTTAATTGCCCTGGCAAAACATTTGGGCACAACTGGAGTAACATCTTCCTTTATGACTTTGAACTGTTTTGCTGAATCTTCTTTGGCCACAACAGCATGGTGTGTAGTGGGCTGGGTCTGACAAGCAGAGAGGTTCTGCAAGTAGAAAGAGTGACAACAAGACTTTAGACTCACATGGAAAAACAGACCAAGATCAAGGCTGGGTATTGTGTTTGCCTTCATACGCCCCAAATAAGCCCAAAATCTATAATACAGTTTAAGATTAAAATATCATAATATCTAAATTAAATGTTAAGGTTAACAAGAAATCTTTGCAAAAAGAGAAGCAGCCTCTTCATTGCCTTTTTTCTCACATGAATCTTCCTACATTAGTGAGAAAATTATATGAACTGACATGGTGAAACGACATGACTTCCTGATTGGAATACCCAATACAACTTTTATACAGAAATCAAAACAATGCTTATCATTGATAATACTTCTGAGAATTCTACCTCTATTACTTCAATGCCACAAACCCTATATTTTGGCTGTAATCACACTATAACTAATTTTTTCAATTTTCAACAGAAGTCCTCTTCACTGTCAACTATACACAACTAGTTGTTCCCAGACAGCACCAAGCAGCGTACAGCTCTCCCGTGTGCAAAGGCCAGAAAATCTTCACTTCTTTCCAAACATCTACCAACTAGAGTCAGATGATTGGGGAGTTTGAAAGGAGTACTTCTGATGTAATCGTGGTAGTATTCTTAGAATTACAAACAATGATGTCAATTGTTCCAATAATTCTTATGAATCTGCTACCTCTATTTTATCTTTGTCAGAATATTCCAGAGGAAAAGGCGGATTCTGCCTCAAGTAAACTCACTGTATAACTGACAGTAGATAATAGTCTTCTTGTGATTCCATCTATTAATCCAAATCCAGAGGTAAAATCACCTCAAGAGGGCTTGAAAACTGAAGGAAAACAGTCACATATGTGGTATCCTCCAGAACTACACTTATATTTGTTGTTGTTCATGATAATGATGTCATCAGAAGTTTTAAAACCATCTCTTAAGACCATCATTTCTGGTTGTGACATCACTTTCGGTACATTTCACGTTTGGTTTTGATGTCACCTCCTATTATTCATCTGTAATGATGTCAAAAATGATGTCATTACCGGTTTGTTACACCACTTCCGGCCACCATTTACTTCTGATTATGTCACTTCCGGCATTTTTGGTTATGATGGCACTTCCTGTTTCCTTCCAATCTATGACGCCATTTCCAGTCATTTCCAGACCATGATGTCATTTCCGGTTAATTTCTCCTGACTAATCCAATTCTCAATAATCAAATAATAAGGCGGTGTGCCCACCTTCTGAAGCTGCAAAAGTCTGCTCCTTGCCAGCCCCCTTCTGAAGAAGGCAAAAACTACTGGCTAATGAGTGCTAGGAGCTACAATAATATGACCTAAGGAGTGAATCCATACAAGGTCTGGCCAATTATCATGTTGGTAATAGTTTGTGTAGTGGTCAGTGAGCCCCACTAGCAGGATACCAGTGGTTCATTTGAGACTGCTGATCAGGTCCACGGTTTGTAACCAAAGCTCTAATTTCGTGAGCTGAGCAAGATGCAAATAGAGGAGTGGAATACTGGGCTTAACAATACTTTCAGCAATGGTGGACTGGAGCCATCAGGCAACTGTGGCTTTGGTAATGTCCTTGTGAGAATGAGTCTTGCAGGAGATAAAAAGTCTCTTTCTGTGTCTTCTTAGTGGATCTATCGCCGCAAGATAATATACTGAACTGCAAAAGAAACATCACCATGGATAGATATTACCTTATTAGATAAACCTTATTTGTCCAAACACTGTAAACATACTTTGAGACATCTGATCATCAAACGGATCATCAAGATTGAAATTAAAGCGTCAAAACACTAGTCTCTGAGGATTTGGAATCACAAGTCAGTATTACGTGTGTCCGCCATGTGTATTGATGACTGCCGTGTAACGTCGATACATGGAATGGATGAGGCAGTTGATGAAGGCCATAGGCACTTGAGCCCACTTGCCTGGGGGCAGGCCACTGCATGGTTCTGATGCCATTCTGGTGGAGGAAGTCTCTTGTTGCTCTCTCAGTGTGGGCACGGGCGTTATCATACTGAAACTCGTAGTTGCGGCGACGTGCCAAATGAGGTATGGCATGTGACACCATTGCCTCTCCCTGGACCGATGTTCTGGAAGACCACAGTGCCGACCCTCTGTGCAAGACCAATTCCGCCCCACACCATGATGCTCGGACCACCCAACGAGTCTCTCTCAACAACACAAGCATCCGATTAACGTTCCCCATGGCATCGCCAGACTATCTCTCTGCCATCTGCTTTTGAGATACAGTAACAGCTCTTGTCTGAGAAGAGGACTCTTCTCCACTGCTGGTGCTGTGTTGCCCACTGAAGACGGTCCCGGCGATGACTTGGTTTCAGAATGGGTTTTCGGTGTGGCCTGTGACAGTGGAGGTGTCTACGCACGGTGTCCGCACTAATGTATGGCTGGTGTGTCCCCATGGTTTTTTGATGGCGTTTTTTGCTAGTAACGTACCTACCGTTTCGATCAATGTTGGTAGCTGCCTGGACGGATACGTTTTCCGATGGGGATGGAGTGTCATAGGTGGTGGTGCGATCATCGGTAATCGATACCCTTGTTGAAGCAGCTGCGTCACAAAGGGGTCTGCGAGCATGGTCCATTTGTCTGCAAAAATCTGGAGTCTTCCGCCTACGGGCGTTGCTATAACAGGAACGTCTGGGGGCGGAAGTTCCCAGTCGTGCCGATTTGCAAAGGAGTCAAGTTCCTGCTGACCCTCCCTCTTGGGAAGGTTCGCTGGCGCTCTTGGGTCCGGTCTAGGCGACCGAACGAGCAGAGGAGGTCTTTGAGCCCTGTTGACCTCTTTGACCTCTGCCGCGACCTGGCAAGGGATTAGGCCGAGACGAAATAAGCTCACGTAAATCGCGCTGGGCAGGAACAAATTTGAGATATTGGCGATCCTTTTTCTGTTGAACCTCCAATTGTCTTTTCTGGAGACGCAGAAGGTCCACCGTGACCTGATGGCTAGAATCTCTCTGCACGTCCTGTGCTACCTGTTGTAACCCGTCAGCAGGGGTTGCTGATACAGTTTGGCCTTAAATTGGTCATCCCAGGAAGAATGTTGTAGCACACCACGGCGACAAAGAGCCGTCATGGAGCGGCGTGGTGAGTGAGGAGGTCCAAAATCTGCGTAAGCTTGTCTTGTGTAAGGTTGATTAACCCCCGAGTAAAGGCCTCTTCTTGGGAATGAGTGGAGAGAGAGAGGGAGAGTGCGTCCATGGCTGACAAAATAGTAGACACGAGTGGGAGGGTACGGCGGACTGTGGTATCCAAGTGCGTTAGGTCCCTATCTTCAACCACGTAAGACGAGGTTGAGCGCTTCTGAGACAGAGTAGAAACGTCACTGTCAATCTTGGGGGAGACGACCGTAGTAGACATGCCATGAGTGTCTGTGTCTTCAAGGATGAAGCTGGGGATATGGAGACGATCCTGAAGTCGACGAAAGGACGTGAAAGCCGTATCTAGGTTAGAGTTAATGTCCATCTTGGAGGGAGCGTGATCTTGGACGAACTAGCCGATGGAACTGCGAATCCAGAGAACCTATCCGCAGCCGAAGTCGTCCGCTGTAACTGCAGTATATCAGCTATCCAATGCAAGACTGATTTAGGGTCCGCTGGTTCATAACTCCCAACAGATGAAGGCGTTGACACGGGGCGTCAAGAACGCCTGACGGGTGTGAACTATCAGTTGGTTGAGCCTGGATATTGGGATTGCCCGAAGTAGAGGCCGAACCACCTAAGCCGAGTGGGGTCGAACGGGAGGCAACCGGAACCGGAACAGGATCAGTAGGTTGATCCAAACGGTGAAGGAGGTCAGTGGATATTGCTTTAACCAGAGAATTATACGATGGTTCCGAAGTTGATCCCTGTGATCCCAACTCGTGGGTAGGATAGGTGGACAAGGGTCGGGAGGAGCCGATCTAGAAGGATTACGCTCCTGCGATCTGTGCGCCGAGGAGAATGGCTCCGAGAATGACTTCGACGATCTTGTTTTTTATACGAAGCCGAACGCCAATCCTGTGAACTGTGAGGTGGGTAGGCGTAGCCGGCAGGAGAGCGGTAGTCAGGAAACTGCTGGTAATAAGAGTCATGGTAGATCAGGTAGGTATCCCATCCTCTATGGGCCATGTGATATCCCCCGCTGACGAGGTCACGTGAGGGTAGCCGCTATGCTGGTAGTCAATGATGCATGACTGGTCTCTATACACTCATGGAAACTCAATCGAGAAAGCCGATCCTGTGAGCGAGATCTCTGATCGTGCGAGCGCGAACGTCGAACCCGTGAGCGAGAATGCCGATCCTTTGAGCGAGAGCGCTGATCCCGGGAGCTGGAACACCAATCCTTGGAGCGGGAGCGCCAATCCTGTGAGCGAGAGCACCGATTCCGGGAGCGGGAATGTTGATCCTTGAAACGAGAGCGCTGATCGTGGGAGCAGGAATGCCGACCAGTCGTCTTGGAGGGTGAACGTTGTACCGAAGTGTGACGATCTAAAACGACCCGAGATGAAGTTGTATCGATGACCGTATCTCTAGCCCCCAGGGGGTGTGCAGAGCTTGCCGAATCCAAGAGCGGGACTTTGAAAGGACTGGAGCAATCTGTCACTGGTATAACGAGAGCAGGACCAGGGTTGATCAGACAGACCGGGTGCACATCGAACTGCATATCTTGCTTTGGAGTTGTAGACAGGTCGCGAGAGGACAAGTCGTCTGTAATGAAGCTGTCTGAGAAGGTGTCGTCTGTGACAGAAATTACAGGTTCGACAGGATTGTCTTTAAGGCGTGATGAGCTGGAACTAGCTTTGGAATCACCCGCTTTGGAAAGGCGATTGGCAATACGACGACGACAACGTTGCAGGAAAAACTTTAAAAGCCAAGTTAGTTCAGGAATGACATTCCGCACATCGGGAACCCAGGGTGCACTGTCCCTGACAGTCGCAACATAATGAGTGGGGATCCGACGTGGAATAGGTACGTCTGCATTCTTTACAAGCAGGACGTTGATTGTCCTTCTTTCCCATATTTTTTTTATTTAAGATACTCGAACAAACTGGCGAAGGACAATAATTCTGTGATGTTTTCAAACACGTCGCCACACGTAATTGACCTAGCTTTTGGACGTAACCATGGAGATACAGGGGGGGCTTGGGTGGCTATTTTTAGTTTTAGAAGCTGGAAACATGATTCAAGTACATTCCCACATAGGATTGAAGAAGAAGGGAGAAATGCAAAGTGTGAGATAGGATAGGTTTAAAAATAATATTTCTTCTTGCCAACATCCATTGTTGCCAATTTTTCGTATTTCTAAAATATTCCAAAATTAATTTCACTGTACTTTTAACATTGATTATTGTGAAACTATGATCAAATGTGGTTCTTTCAGTCAGTGGAAAAAATTTCAGTCGATTTCTTAAATACCCCAGAAAGAGGGGACGTCAAAACATTTGTAAAAAGAAGTTTACAGTCAAGCAACTGTATTTTCCATCGTCTGAACAGCAGGTGCAATCTAAGCACACATTCCTCTTCATTCATATATTTAATCATTATTATGAATAAAATATGTTTTCTTTCAACGTGTCATCTTCCAACAGATGCTACCCAATATTTAAAAAAGATCTACACTTAGTTATCAATAACATTATTAACTATGTATTTGACAATATATGCATGTTACTATGAATGTTTGAAAGGAAGAGCTAAATTTGGTTGTAAAATTACATTTTGGGAAGGAAATAACTGAAGAGATTTTAAAAATTGGCTGAACTTATCTAGAACATTAAACATATATAGAGTCAATTTTGCATATCATTCAGATAAATATTTCTCCGTTTTGAAGAAAACTGGCAAAAGATCACAAGCACTCAAACAATGTGTTTGCACAACTGCGACAACTTGTCGCTAGCCAGTACGTTTGAGAAAACTTTCATAACATTTGACCATATTCTCCTTAAAAATGGCGACAATGTAAGAACACAGAAACGTCAGGTAGCATGAGAACTATGAGACTGATGCATGTGCACAGGAAACATCATGAATAGGCCTATAAAAGTTGCGGATTGCTCAGTAAGAAACTGTTTACCTGTAAATCAGGGTCCCTGGGTACCATGTCTTGACATTGGTATGGGTACTAACAGAATGTCACATGACCACCCCATGTCAGGCTGTCCAGGCTACAGTATTTGCAACAAAGGTCTACAACAGCAGGCCATCATGAAGCACAACTCAGATAATGGCCCAACCAGCGATTGAGAACTGTTTGGTTCAGCAATGATTCAAGATTTATGCGGGCTCAAACTGATGGCAGAGCCAGGGTGTACCACCGTTACCATAAATGTTTTTTCACCAAATTCATATGGTGGACAGTTTTGGGCTGTGGAAGTGCAATAATCTGGGCAGAAGGATGACCAGGAACTGCTTGATATTGAATTCTTACGACTATGACCTTTGTCATTTTATGTGTTATGTCTTCATAAAGGACACATGTCCACTGTTTGAGTGAGTGAGTGAATATTGCAATCCCCTTTTTGAAAAAAAACCCAGCTTCCAATTTGTTTGTGGTGGGTACAAGTCAATGCATAGTCACCCGTGTCCCTACCATATATTATGATAAAGAAGAAATTTTAATTACTCACAAGTAGGTACTGCATTAGTTAAACATTTCAACATCAGTTTCGATACATTAATTATGGAAAAATTGTTCAAGTGACACTGATACGACAGTGTGTTCTTATGCCGGGATACAGCTGTCTATCTTAATTAGAGGAAGGCTGGATTGTTCTGATTTGAAACCAATCGGTTATATTGAAGCAGAAACAAGTATTGTTAAAAGTTAAAATATAATGCAAAACAAAATGCTCCTTTTCTCCACCACTTTGCTATCATCAACCATTTCTGAAAATTAATGTTTTCTGACTGAGATGAAGACTTGGTAAATTTAAGAAAAGTCCATTTCATACCATGGCTGGTAGACTTTGCTGCATGAAGATGTGTTGTTCCTTCAGTGATCTCTGCACTTCCTGTATAAGGACTTCTGGGTACCTTATTCCCACCAGTCTCTCTCCGTTGTCCAATTCCACACGTACAACACGCAGCTGTGTGTCATATTTACTGAAAAACAGTTAATTAAATTTCCAGTATTAGATTAGACAGTGTGTTTTTTTCAGGACACAGCTGTTAGTTGTGTACCCAGGTCTTCATTCGAAACAAAAAATAAACTGTCAGGATCCTGCCACCTTGCACAGCAATTTGAACTCCAGGTACTCTCAACACATCCACTGGTAGTCTACCCTTGTATTCACTCACAACACATCCACTGGTAGTCTACCCATGTTTTCACTCTCAACACATCCACTGGTCGTCTACCCTTGTATTCACTCACAACACATCCACTGGTAGTCTACCCTTGTATTCACTCACAACACATCCACTGGTTGTCTACCCTTGTATTCACTCACAACACATCCACTGGTAGTCTACCCTTGTATTCACTCACAACACATATAATGGTAGTCTACCCTTGTATTCACTCACAACACATCCACTGGTTGTCTACCCTTGTATTCACTCACAACACATCCACTGGTTGTCTACCCTTGTATTCACTCACAACATATCCACTGGTTGTCTACCCTTGTATTCACTCACAACACAACCACTGGTTGTCTACCCTTGTATTCACTCACAACACATCCACTGGTTGTCTACCCTTGTATTCACTCACAACACATCCACTGGTTGTCTACCCTTGTATTCACTCACAATACATCCACTGGTAGTCTACCCTTGTATTCACTCACAACACATCCACTGGTAGTCTACCCTTGTATTCACTCACAACACATCCACTGGTAGTCTACCCTTGTATTCACTCACAACACATCCACTGGTTGTCTACCCTTGTATTCACTCACAACACATCCACTGGTAGTCTACCCTTGTATTCACTCACAACACATCCACTGGTAGTCTACCCTTGTATTCACTCACAACACATCCACTTGTAGTCTAATCTTGTGAGGGAAAACAAGGGTAATTTGATCAACAAGTGGAGAGGAGAGTTGTCATTGTCACCTGTTTATGTTGTCATTGTAACTTGTGGAATTCGTTTCAGATTAGGATTTGCATTAACAGGCTTTTTGTTCACTGGTGTTATAAAAAGAAGGATAGATACGGAAATGAATCAGGACGGTTTGCAACATGACTGAGCATTCAAGTGAAGTGAAAAAACACTAGATTGCTGTAATGTTGCTAACCGTACCGATCTGTCTATCCGTCATTTTATAACACCAGTAAAACAAACAGACTACCAAATCCTAATCCATGACACATTCCACAATTTGTAATCACAAGATAAACACGTGACACACATCACATTCTGTGCTTGGTGTGGATCAAATGGCCTGTTAATCCCTGATAGACACATCAGTTGAACGTTTCTTGGAAGTCAGGTGTGAGTGAGTGTAAGACAGTAGGCACTTTGACACATTTGACTCAAAGCAGTGGAGATTTCCGGCTTGTTTAAGTCTTGTTAATTGAACCATGATGAACGATGAGTCGTGCCGAGATCATCTTATCCGGGTAAATTTGTGTTGGAAGAACATATTTGGGACTGGAAATTTAATTTTGAAATATCTGTAACTTTGACACATCAAATTTGACACATCGGAGGTTAAATACAGATGAAAAAAGAAGGAATACATAGGGACCAAGCTTTTACCTCGAGACAACTGTAAGTTTGACATGTGAAAGTTTGACACAGTGGCGTTTGAATGTATATACAAAACAAATATTTTCAGTCTCCAGCTTACCTCAGCCCAAGTTTTAGAGCAAACTTGTTGATGGTGGTTTCCAACACTGACATTAATGTTACAATGTTCCCACATAGAAGGTGAAGTGGATATGTTCTACTTCCAACTGAAACATACATGATGTTTTAGATTAGAAAGTAAAACAACGCAGGCTCGTTAAGTTCAAATCCGGGACGGGACTCAACCCCCCAAAAGTATGAGAATCTGTACTTTACTAAGAAAGTGTTATCCCAAATATAACATTTGTAACACAGGCTCAGTCTATTTGAGGAATACATATAGATGTAGGTTTCCTCATAGCCAGAGGGTTCCTAGCCAGGCTCTGTGAACCCAAGGTACAACTCTGGATTCTAGGGTGGTACACATCAGGGATTTGGAAATATATCCCTCTGCAAGTACTAGAGTGACTGTATGGATTTTAGGACAGATTTGTCAGTTTTTTCATAAGGGTAAAAATATTATTTATACTTATCCTGACTCATACTAATTGCTTATCCCATCTCATTCCGAAAGGTAGTGGAAACTTCCTGTGCTGTGTTCCTGAAAAACAGAGAAAACATCTCCCCGAATGCACCCTTCATACGTGAAGGAGCACCCGAGCCAGGTGACCAAGGCCGGTAACCCGTCACTCTCTCCCTTTTTCCTACTTAACAGACTGAAACATATCAGTGAAGAGCGTTGATGGCTGGGAGGGTGCTCTCGCGTATGAGTCAGGATAAGTATAAATACCTTATCCTAACTCACACTAATTGCTTGAATATCATAGTAAGTGGTGAGTTCCATCTTTATGTGTCATAGTTGTGACCTGTTCTAAACCCCATGGGAATGTGGTTGAAATTCTTGAAGTACATCTTGAAGATTTTGTGGATTTGCTAAGGCTTACATAAGATTAATCTTGTTTGCCTTAAACAATTGTCGTCTTAAGAGAAGAGCATAAACTAAACACAATCGTCATCACTCATGTGCTGAATTACGAAGTAAAACAGGGGGCCTGGACTCTCATTGGTTATGGGCCAGTAACATGACATCAACACGTCTATGTGATTGTGGGTGAATGTAATCTCTTAGTCTATCTGCTGGTGACATGGAGAAATCTCCGAGATAATGGTTCACGAAGACAGTGTCCAATCTTCAGAAACAACCATCAATAATCGTCACGGATTTGTAGGGCTAGAATGGAGTAGCTCTGACTCTATGTGGGTTGGATGCTGACTGAGGGTCCAAACCTGCTGCCCTGCTGAGTAGGACTGCTCTCATCCAGAAGGAGATGGTTGTTCAGGAAAATTCTCATGAAGCATTTCTCGATAAAGAAATATAGTGTCTCTATAAATCCTTGTCTTCTCGATTCTGGTTTTTGTAGATAAATCCATAAATTCCTCTCCTGCGATGGAGGAGAATGCTGGGAGAATGTCTTTCAGGCTGTTCAGGCAGCTGATGAAGTCCCTCTTAACATGAGGTGGGCCAATGCATGATCATTGATGTCAATCTGGTATGACTAAAGTCAACTGCATATACCTCAAGACATTCTGGCCGCCGTGGCTAGTGTTAGAAGATAAAGGATTTTAAAAAATCCGCTTGTTGAAGAGGTTCGTACGCATCACATGTAAGATGTTGTAGCACTATGCTTAGGTCACAAACTGGGGCTCCGAACTTCCTCTATTGACGTTCAAGTCTAACATCTCAATAGGGTTATTAGTTCGGGAACTTTTTGTGTTTTATTCCATTAGACATAGTCAGAACGGAACTAATCACTGCCAGGTAAGTGCCCAGAGTAAATTGTTTGAAATTTTTTATGGTTCTTGAATGACACAAGAAATCTGCTACTTGTGGAGAAGTAGCTATAGCTCCTGTAAACCTTTGGATTTCGCAAACTGGTCAGAACTCTTCCATTTGTTATCATATAAATTCCTTTTTGATCTACGATGAGCTTGGGAAACTGCCTTAGCTGCTCTGATGGAAATCCTTGTTTTGTGAGGCTGTTTGGGATATGTTCCATGTGTGTAAGCTCGAAGAGCCCTGGTCTTGAATGAACCTGTTTTGAATGTAGAAGAAAATTTGACCTGTTCAGGCGTTTTATTGCTGGACTTCCTGCTAATGGGAGTAGGTCTGGAAACCATGTACTCGCTGGCCATTAAGGACCGACCAAAAGCAAAAGCAGTTGCAGGTTCTTTGTGGGTAGGATCTTCTATAATATCAGAGATAACAATGCTGATGGAGGGAACGCATATGCATGAAGTATCTCTCAAGATACTGCCAGCGCATAGTTGGCCTAAGCCTGAGGGTCTGGAAATAGTGAGACAAAGGTTGCTATCTGTCTGTTGCAAATATATCCACCTATAAAGTGCGCTCCCCAACTGAATGTCTGAATGTCGAGGTATCGATGTAACGGAATCAAAGTCAAAGCTGTACTGGTATCTGGTAGATCACGGCTGAATATATAATTCTGTGGTCTCAATGGTTATACAAAGTAGGGTGATCGAGACCATGCAGAAGTTACTAGGAAACTGTGCCTTAAGGAACGTAAAAGATCACTGGGACCGTATGTTGCATCTATGTGTCTATATTCAACAACTGCTGATCATCAATAAGTGAGGGATGACTTGTCCTCCAGGGTTGATCCTCGCTATGTTGACATATAGTTCGGGTGAAGGGGGGATGTCCTGTAAGTGTTTCTTGTATTAAGGCGACGATGAAAAGCTCATTTCCCAAGGCAAGGCCGTTAACTGACTATAAAATCCAGTTTCCACCCTTGCTGAAATAGGCTGGAATTCCAGAGTTACATTTTGGCTGGACCAACTAGTCTATGCATAGTCCAATCAAAATCGTGTAATGAACTAGACGTCTGGTTCGTAAACAACGTGGATTTCAACATCGGTCTACTACAGAATTTGCAAAGCATGTGTACCATTAACTGGGCATCAACAGATATTTTCCAAATGTTTTCATGTTCTTAAACAAAGTGCTCTAGTGATCTGATGCACTTCATGAGGTAAGACCCTTTCTAATACAATATAAATCTTGACTATCAAAAAGATTGTCTTGACTGGGTGCCGCCATTTTGTTTGAAGCAAATTTTGTAATCATGCAAACCAATCTGTAAGAGTGTACAGCATGGCTCGCATTAGGTCAGTCTGACCTATTTCCAGGATAGTTGGGTTTGTTAACAGTCAGAGAAATCTTGAGACATGACATATAAAAAACCCTGCGCAGGAACAAGGAATCTTGCATTGAGACGAGGTTCAATCTCCACACACTGGCAATCCAGTGTGAACTGTATGGTAGACAGGAAACTTCTGAAGCATAATGGTGAATATGTAGTTATTTTTTTGCTGAATGTGTGGTGTGGCCGGTGCAGTTGCAGGTAGATCTAAGCAAGCATCTAAATAACTGAAAATTGTCAACATTCGATGAAACTCTTCCCATCATAGTGGTGAACTTTCAATGAATGACCCAGTTGATGTCTTATCCTGTCTTGATTGTCAACGAATGACGACTCTGTTGAGTGTCTAATCAATTGTTAATTTGTTATCGGTGTAGGTTCCATGTTGGCTGAACGATAGTGCTCTTGTAATAATTTCATATGGATTATGGCATATGGCAGATTATGACAGAAAAAGTGTGTACTTTAAAGTCCAAAAATATGAAAAGATGTAGGCAAAAAGTTCCATCATAACCGTCCTGCTTTTCAATACACTTCTCATATTGATAGTGAAGCTTTTCAATTCCAGTCAGGAAGAAGTTTTCTGAAGCCACCTTTGATAGAATCTCTCAGGCAATGAAGAAATCAGCATAGTAGGTACTGATAATCGTCTTTTGACTTTCTAAGTAATAAACAAGGATCACACACTTTGTATCCCAGAATACAATAGCCATAACTTTCTTCACTGATCTTGAAGACTTCAACTTATTTGATGCCGGAGAAGTGGAATAGTGCCATTCCATGGAATGATGTATGGATTCGGGATCATAGTGGTAGACCCATGTTTCATAACCCGTTAGAAATCTTTTTTGAATTTGACGAAATCCTCCTCAATTAGCTCTAAATTTTCTCCCTGGCGATGTCAATTCTTTTTTCCTTTGGATCAGAATTTAGAAACGTTGGCACCCAAAGATCAGATATCTTATTCATCTGTAAATGTTCATGAATAAAAGTTTCATTGGATCCATGGCTTACCTTGTGTCTTCCTCAAGTTCAGCAATGGTAATATGTCTATCTGACAGTATAAGTTTTTCTATCTCCTTGATTGAATCTTCATTGATGGAAGTTGAGGGACGTCCAGACCTAGGTTCATCAAGGCATATTCTCCCAGCATTAAACATAGCTGCCAAACATCTAACAGTGGAATAGCTAGGGCACTTATCCCCATACACTTGTGACATGTGGTCATGAATTTCTTGGGGAGTACTTTTCTCTAAAGTCAAAAACTTCATGACTGCTCGGTACTCGTTCTTTTCCATTTCTGTGTCCATTTGGACCCCGATCACGTTCAACTGGTTTTCACTAATATACAAACGGCCTCAACAGCCCAAATACAGTTGCAATGAACTATGTGTTTGACAGAGATGTTTTCTATGTTCTCCTGCACAGGAGATTTCCACTAACTTCCTGAAATGAGATGAGATAAGCAATTACTATGAGTCAGGTTAATTTATGATTTATCATTTTGAAATATTAAAACAAAAGTAGCTACCAATGAAGAAAGAACACTGATTTAGACAAGATAAGATGTCTCACTAACCATCAATCTGCATGCCCAATTTCAGCTTCATCAATCAAGCAGATTGAGAGGAAAAGAGGAAAAAATATTTGAGAGTGCAAAGGTCAGTGTTGGGGTCACTGGGGGTCACATGGTCATGTAAGTAGTCCGCCTCAAGAAACAGACCCCTCTTTGAAGTGCTGTAGGTCCCTAGCCCTTGCTCCAATGGCCTGAGTAATAGCTGTTTTTGATTTGATCAGTCAAGAGGTAACTAACTTGATAAATTGGCAAAGGTGCTGGCCCAATGTCTGTGGCTATTTTCTCCCATTTTAAATGAGTATAGGATGGTGAAATTGTGCATGGACCTCCACTGAGAGACAGTTAAATTTGATTGCCATAGCAACCATATGAAAAAACCTACCATTTGCCATTGCACCCCCAATATATGAAGATAATTTGATAAAATTGTGCAGTGGGGTTTATTGGCAATGACAGCATATGCAGTGTGGTAACGCCAACTATTTTGCTGCAAAGGTTGAATCAAGGTAAAAAACAAAACAAAAAAAACTATCACCAAAAATTTAATTAAACCTGTGTCAAATTGAAATCCAGTTTGAAAACAGGCGGTGATTAATAGCCATTAAAGGGGTTCTAAATATGGCCAGTGTGATGGCCATGTTTAAACTCAGATCAGAAATCTGTGAGCAAGTTTTGGAGACAATAATGTAAAGTTTAGACAACATATAACTTTTCCGTCTGATGAGAGGTTGGTCACGTTTATGACGTTCATAAGCATATGTAAATAAATACATAAGCATTGTTTCTGATCATTTAGATCCTATACTCAGCATATACTGGGAAAAGTCAGAGTTTAACTCCATGCCTGTTGATGAATATCCTCGCTATGACGCATCACATCCAACAATGAACTCGATCTGTGTCTAGACTGACAGTGACCGACGACAGTGACAATCTCTGAATGTACCCTTAGTATCTATTTGACACATCTGTAAACATTTGTAATTGCCACAATAATGCTGACAGTGTGTGTGTGTGTGTGTGTGTGTGTGTGTGTGTAAAACTTGTATGACATTATAAAAGCATGCAAACAGAAGAAATGTCTTGTATATGGTATGGTGTATTATACCATATTATTATGCATTGTGGCATGGCATGGCATGGATGTATTTTATAAATTGGGGTGTACTTTGTTATATACACATGTGCTATCGTTATTCAACTTTACTTTAACTACGATGTATCTGTTTTAAAAGTGTTTCATTAGCCAAATTGGCTGGGTGCTCGTATTTTTTAAATTATGAGTATGAAATGACTTATGATGAACATGTATGTAGCACATGACACTGGAATAAACATTTCTTCTCCTTCTTCTCCTGTACTCCTCATGTAACTGGTGAAGGTTGTCCATACACAGAAGGTAGGGTGTCCTCCCATTTTTCTATACATATATATATTCTTTGTCATATCAGTGAAATAATCAAATTAAAATTTGAATGTTTGTATTTTCAGATCAATATAGCAACTGTACCCGTGCAGTGCGGGTGATGTCGGCAGGTACGGCCATGGATGCACAGGTCTCGACTCTGGTCGTAATGTTTCTTCCATCCTTCCTCTGGAATATAAGAGGATGACACTGTGGCAAACAACAGCAAGAATCACACACTTGTACAAAGGCCTTTCATTCAAGTCAGGAATAATATGTTCATGTCAGATTATTCCTACAATAGGTTATAAGAGTAATAAAACTACTGTAACACAATATGTAAAGAACTAGAAACACTTTTGTATCCTACAATAGGTTATAAGAGTAATAATACTACTGTAACACAATATGTAAAGAACTAGAAACACTTTTGTATCCTACAACAGGTTATAGTGTCATACTGTAACACAATATGTAAAGAACTAGAAATGCTTTTGTATCCTACAATAGGTTATAAGAGTAATAATACTACTGTAACACAATATGTAAAGAACTAGAAAACACTTTTGTGTCCTACAATAGGTTATAGTGTCATACTGTAACACAATATGTAAAGAACTAGAAACACTTTTGTATCCTACAACAGGTTATAGTGTCATACTGTAACACAATATGTAAAGAACTAGAAACACTTTTGTATCCTACAATAGGTTATAGTGTCATACTGTAACACAATATGTAAAGAACTAGAAACACTTTTGTATCCTACAACAGGTTATAGTGTCATACTGTAACACAATATGTAAAGAACTAGAAATGCTTTTGTATCCTACAATAGGTTATAGTGTCATACTGTAACACAATATGTAAAGAACTAGAAATGCTTTTGTATCCTACAATAGGTTATAAGAGTAATAATACTACTGTAACACAATATGTAAAGAACTAGAAATGCTTTTGTATTCTACAATAGGGTATAGTGTCATACTGTAACACAATATGTTAAGAACTAGAAAACACTTTTGTATCCTACAATAGGTTATAAGAGTAATAATACTACTGTAACACAATATGTAAAGAACTAGAAAACACTTTTGTATCCTATAATAGGTTATAGTGTCATACTGTAACACAATATGTAAAGAACTAGAAACACTTTTGTATCCTACAACAGGTTATAGTGTCATACTGTAACACAATATGTAAAGAACTAGAAATGCTTTTGTATCCTACAATAGGTTATAGTGTCATACTGTAACACAATATGTAAAGAACTAGAAACACTTTTGTATCCTTCAATAGGTTATAGTGTCATACTGTAACACTATTATGTAAAGAACTAGAAATGCTTTTGTATTCTACAATAGGGTATAGTGTCATACTGTAACACAATATGTTAAGAACTAGAAACACTTTTGTATCCTACAATAGGTTATAAGAGTAATAATACTACTGTAACACAATATGTAAAGAACTAGAAATGCTTTTGTATTTTTCAATAGGGTATAGAGTCATACTGTAACACAATATGTAAAGAACTAGAAACACTTTTGTATCCTACAATAGGTTATAGTGTCATACTGTAACACAATATGTAAAGAACTAGAAACACTTTTGTATCCTACAATAGGTTATAGTGTCATACTGTAACACAATATGTAAAGAACTAGAAACACTTTTGTATCCTACAATAGGTTATAGTGTCATACTGTAACACAATATGTAAAGAACTAGAAACACTTTTGTATTCTACAATAGGTTATAGTGTCATACTGTAACACAATATGTAAAGGATTAGAAACACTTTTGTATCCTAGCTACAATATATATCTTTCACATTCATCTTTTAAACTCTGCATTTATCTTATAACAAATACAAATTTCATACTTTTTCTGAATGTATTGTAGCAATAAAGTACAAAGGCATATCTCAGGGTGCCCTGACAGTTCTGTGCATAACACTGAGAAGCATGCCATGAACACTTGTGGGACAGTTCAGCACATTGTACTCTTGCGATTCAGGAACTGGGACTCGCTGTGGGAAAAGCATAGAGCAGCTATAGATTCATGAAAAAACCCTGAAATGTTCAGTTACTGAACAGATGACAACAGCTGTCAACACAGCAACCTTTCTATACATGATGGTAGAAAATGTTTCTGGAAGTCAGGAGTCAGAATGAAGAAAAGCAGTTCCTGAAACCTTTTTCTGATGTGGAATTTCCAAGCTAAAACAACAGTACATTCCCGTATGTCCCCACTTGGGAAGGAGATGAGATGGACATATTCACAAAGCCAAACTAAAGTGGTACAACTTACCAAAGGTATGAGACCTGACAAGGGTACATAACAATATACCCTCCTGTACAAGTGCTCTGCTGTTACTCAAAAGCATCAAACAATGACATGTTGAAGCACACAGATAACAGCCAGGCTAGACCTTGCAAAACGTGTTGGATATTTTCTGTGAGAACAACTCTGCCTCTGTTGACTGGCAAAAGAACAATGCCATTATTGAAAATATCTCAGGACTCCTTGCTCCACTTGTACTACAATGTATGACAGCACTTGTACTACAGTGTATGGATACACACACATACACAATTGCACAACAAGCTTGAAACCTTTACTCAATGTTGTCAAATGTTGTGATCAGAGTGGCCTGAGCAGATGCAGAACAGAGCCTTGTCTTAAATGTCAGTTTATGATATCCATGCATAGATCATGGATAGGGATTTGTTTTTGAATTTTTCTTGAGAATCAATGTGACTTCTGACCAGATTCAATTTGTAATGTAATTTAATTTTAATTGATCCCACTTTATACATACAAATGATTATTACAAAACTATATATCTACTAGACAAAGCATTGCTTGACTACAGGAAGTGTGCTTCTACATATTAGTCAATAGAAACCTAAGGATCATTGTCGCATTCTCATCCATCATATTTCATCATGGACATGTTTCTTGTACATTACTGTCTACAGGCGTGCTCCCGATAACGACAAGGACAGCCTTATCCATAATAAAGATCACTATACTATAGCAACTGTGCACATATTTTCTTGATAGAATCCATAGGTAGTCACTTCCTTATATGTACATTATCTTTGGAACTATTTATGTCATTGCTAACCTAACCTAAACAATTACCCCAAACAGAGCAGTCCCTACTCACCAATTACTTCTTTTATGCAACACCTTTGGCTTATTTACTTTCTTACCTATCTTTAAGCAAAGGGGGTAGGCCTGGACAACATGGCAATGCCAGCAAAGTTTATTCAAGTTGTTTATAATCCACTGTTAGTTTTCTAACTCAACTTTCATCTGGCAGACAATCATTACCCAAATTACCCTTAACACAATGTCCCAGTTTCACACATGGCACTACTATTACCATAAACACAATGTCCCAGTTTCACACATGGCACTATTATTACCATAAACACAATGTCCCAGTTTCACACATGGCACTATTATTACCATAAACACAATGTCCCAGTTTCACACATGACACTACTATTACCATAAACACAATGTCCCAGTTTCACACATGGCACTATTATTACCATAAACACAATGTCCCAGTTTCACACATGGCACTATTATTACCATAAACACAATGTCCCAGTTTCACACATGACACTACTATTACCATAAACACAATGTCCCAGTTTCACACATGGCACTATTATTACCATAAACACAATGTCCCAGTTTCACACATGGCACTATTATTACCATAAACACAATGTCCCAGTTTCACACATGACACTACTATTACCATAAACACAATATCCCAGTTTCACACATGACACTTTTATTAACACAAACACAATGTCCCAGTGTCACACATGGCACAATTATTGCCACAAACACAATGTCCCAGTGTCACACATGGCACAATTATTGCCACAATCACAATGTCCCAGTTTCACATGTGGCACTATTATTGCCACAAACACAATGTCCCAGTTCCCCACATGGCACTACAATTAACACAAACACAATGTCCCAGTGTCACACATGGCACAATTATTGCCACAAACACAATGTTCCAGTTTCACACATGGCACTAACTACAAGATCAAGACTTGATTTGAATTTGGCCCCAGAGCAAGGAGCATTGTCTCCCTTTCAGGCAACAAAAGAGAGAGTGAAACATTGCCTTGGAAAGTATGATAGATCTCTTCAATGTAAATATGAAAAAAGCATTGGAAACTAACACATATCACTGTTTGGGGTAAATCTGCTGAAGGGGAAGTTCCATGTACCTCCAACATGGTGAGATATCTGAAGCCTCAAATCTTTAGTCTCAAGACACAAGTGTAGAGCTTCACCTCTTCGGCTGTTTTCATATTTGGGGTATTTAGCTCCAATTCAGTTGGATCCCTAAACAAAGATACTCCCTCATCCACAGTAGAAAATATACTAGTATTTATTTGGATAGGTAGCACACTTATTCTGCTGGTTGTGAAACTATAAACCTCTGCTGTTGCAGCTATTTGTGTGTAACTTTCCTGAAGGAACATATATAATCTTCAAACAACTTACAAATGCTTAAATGTACATAGGATTGTTTCATTCTTAATGTGGCTGTGGAATGAATTGGAAAGATTGTTTCAAACTACATAATTCTTATTTCACTATATTGATTATTTCTTGTGAAATGTCATCAAGTTGTACATGACTGTAGGGTTGAGTGTTTAGTCCTGCAGGGCCTGGGGCTTGTAGCAGACATCTAGTGGTATATTAATCATACATGCATGTTCTTAGTATCTAGGATAAGGTTTAGGCTTGCTACTCCAGGTTTCCCTCATTGTTTGTTGAAACATAATATTGTACATACAAGTTCTTGTCGACGACATTTTTTAGAAGATATACAGTTGATACATTTGTAGATTCTTTCTATACATTTCTGACCAGTTTTACATTTAATGTATCTCATATCAGTTTGCACAAAATAATGGTCCATGTTTGTTACTTCTCAGTTAGAAAGTTGACATCTATACATATGCATAGATATTGTTCATCATTCATTACCAGTAAGGCTGAATGTGATTACTGACACACAGTACTTGTTATTTCTTTCCTTGTGGTTCACCCTATTCTTGTTTCTTGCTGGCCATGTGATATGATTCGTTTATCAGAAAGTGTCACTACAGCATAGCCAGAAATGCAAAACTTTTTATACTGTTGTCTCCTAAAATATATTCATAGTATTGCCTGTTAACCTTTCTTCAATTACACTTTGTATATGGAAATAGCATAAATGTCCATGACTAGTCTTAAAAAGGACACTATAGTCTGGAAGGTAATTTAAGGTACCGACGTTTACTACAATATCTGAAAAACTATCGGACCTACTTCAGTCAAAGTTGGTATGAGATTATTATATTTCATCAACAACCAGACCTGTTCGTCATGGGGCCATATGACACAGTTGAACCAATCAACTCAACTCAAAAGGGTGCACGGGAATCAAGCACGTTGAGACGCCCAACGCTAACACTGTATTCGTGCGTGAGTGATTCCCGTGCACCCTTTCGAGTTGAGTTGATTGATTCAACTGTGTCATATGGCCCTGTGACGCAGGGTAGCATTATGCAGATGGCTGTTTCAATGAATGCTTGTTCCACCCGTGACGAACAGGTCTGGTTGTTGATGAAATAAAGTGATAGCTAAATAGACAGATTTTTTATTCATGCACTGATTGTCTTTAAATGTAATATCCAGTTATGTATGACTGTTTAATAATCTCATACTAACTTTGACTGGAGTAGGTCCAATAGTTTTTCAGATATTGTAGTAAACGTTGGTACCTTAAATTAACTTCCAGACTATAGATGACATACCACGTTTTTAGAAGGGCACCAGTCAGGCCAGATGACATACCATGTTTATCCACTGTTTACTTTTGTGTATCTTAACTGGACAATTTGGATTAAAAACAACCATCTTGATCACCAAGGTTTCACTGTTTAATCTTTAGTCTGCAGCCAAAATGAATCATATAAACTTGTGTGATTCTCTATGATGTCTCTTTGACAATTGTTATATAAACCCATCTTATATGTCTTCTTGTTGAATGTCCCCCTCGGCTTGTTTCAACACATACCCTCCTTGTTATCAACTATCTATTATGAACCACTGTTTGTGGTAAATTGTTTTTTTTGTATGACTTGTTTTTGACAATAGTGGTTATTACAATAAGGCTTAAAGAATAAAAGAATTGGTTCTCAGGCAATGTTTGATTAAAATATAGTGGGTGGGGGTGTAACCATATAAACAGTTGTGTTAAGAATTAACTTTCACTTTGTGTAAGTTTACTGGAGTATGAACCTTCATAAGAGTGAGGGTCAAACTGTATGAAGGTCGGAGCTTGCCAATGAGAAAACAGCTTTCTCAAGCTTTATGGCACTCGTTTCAACCTTGCAACTTTCATTTCAGACTACGCTTGAAAAATATGTTGACAAAGTTCTCGATTAAAATTTTGAAAACTGAACAAACAAACATTCCAGAATGTCTAATATATGGTTGCAATTGTATGGCAGTGCTTCCCAAGTACTGTGCAACGCCTCCTCCGTTCAAATGTTTATCCCACAGAAGCAACATATAGAAGATAATTTTGACAGAATCAGTCTAATGGGCGATAACTGTCTTTTGGAATACCCCGTGTTAACATCTTCGAGGTTGCATGATTAGAAATCACATTCCGACTGTCACTTTCATGATCTGGTAAACCACGCTTGGTTGGTCGGATGAAAGGTCTTTCTGATGTGACCCGTAATGGGATGTCCTCAGATCTTTGTTTTGCGATAGTGAGAATTAAGATCTGATTTTAATGAGATTGGCTGACACGATAAATGTGACGGGAAAGATTTCCGAATTGTTTAATGAACCTGTGGCTATTACAAGTGTTAGTCATCACTGATCAATTGGCCAATCACTGAAAGGTGATTGTAAAGATGTGTCAAATAGATACTAAGGTAGATTCATAGATTGCTGCAGACTTTCACTGTAGTTTAGACACGAATCGAGTTACTACGATGGTAGTTTGAATGTGCTTTTCTTCGTTTTGTTCTCTAGGATGGGTTGTAGCAAAGATACCTTTGATCAGACATGCAGTCGAACTCTGACTTATCCCAATGTATGCTAAAATGTTAAGTTCAAGATATTAGGTCTAAATGATGAGAAACAATGCTTCTGTATTTATTCGTGCTATGGAATTCCCAGGGGTTCCCCAGGAATGTGGCAGTTGTCCGCCAGT